CGCGGCGAAATGTACGAAGCGGCGGCGCAGCGGTGCAATATTAGTTGCGGAAACAAAAGACTTTTGTTTCGGTTGCATGTGGAGCGGCTGCAGCTGGGCACGTCCTTCTCGGGCGGCGGTCCGGTCGAAACTCCTATAATTAACATCTAATGTACTACTAGCTAAAATTTCTTCAAGTTCTTTTTCCTCCTCATACCTCCAAATAATGGAAAGTTGATCAAGAGCCTCACTTTTTGGTTGTGACAGAAAGCTTGAATAGGATGGCTTAGTCTGACCATCCCCGCAATACGACATCATGGGTAAATCACCATCAACTGTAACTGTCGCTTCATTTTTTTGTGTCCTGAAGTGCCCCCTCGTATGGGATAAAATATGGCTTTATATTCTCGTCATTAATTAAGGCCTAGTTTTTTTAAATTAATATACCAGAATCTAATTTGCTTTGCATATTCTTTCGGGACTCTTTCAATAATTTCTTTTCTATTTTCCAAGAAAAAAAAAATGTATGACTCTTTTGTTCAAGTCTGCCTGTTTTGCGAAGCTTGCCATCACTGGCTTAAGTAGTGAATGGTTCACGTACTAATGGAAGTTGTCTTTTGTTAAGAGGCGTGGTAATTTAAATTTTTGAAGTTCTTGTAAATTTTTTCAATGAGAATAATTTTATGAAATTTGTTATCGACAATTTTTTTACAGTCTTGTAATTTCGAGACGTTCTTCGTGATGTTGTATATTAATTCCTTGCTGCGGTCGTAAATATTGTTCGTGACCTTCGTGTAGTACTTATACTATCTGCATACAAAATAAAGCCATTAAAATAACTAATTCGGACTAATCTCAAGTTGCTTCACGACAAATTAAAATTCCCAACAATTAAAGAATACATAATCAAACTTACAATAAAATTCTATTTGTATTCCAACAAAAATCATAAGAATAAACTCATATCCATAATTGGCAAAACGCGATACAAAAACTTACCATTTATCGATGCGTACAAAACGTACAAACTGCCCCATCACTACCTGCTTGACCACTCCGATGACGATGATGACGTCGGAGCGGCCGACTAGGCGCGCGTCAGAGTACTTGTGGTACTACGCGCAGCCGTAACTTTACAATGTCTACCTTCTCATTTTATCTTTAGTTAGTTACCGCTACCATCGGTATTCAAATTATGTTATGCAAACGTTACTTTGCATGAATATAATGTAGTACATTAGCTTTAAGTGTGATTTAACAAAAATCGCACATTAAACTTTAGGTTTAGTAAGTAGTTATAGTTCACGATATCCTTGTTAGTTATTGTTTTGTATACCTTCCAAAAGGCATAGACGCCGGCGAAGAGTTATTGTTTAGTATGATAATTAGTTCTTAGACTGTGTCAAGAATTTAATGTTTTGTAAGTATTTATATGGAAAATAAAGACCTTTATAAATTGAATTGAAATTGACTATCTGCATTCTTCCAGTGGTTGGGTTGGATACAGGTAGGATCAATTCAATTTCTTTTTTAGTGGCGTTTTGATTTACCGGTAGGTAACTAATTTTCAAAGTCAAGGAAAAGTATAAAGAAAATACTTACCTTATCCCCACACCGCCATCAGTAAACACTGCTCATTTTGATTTCTAGCTTGATGCAAGGAATCAAAGTAATATATCAAGGGATACTACTCGTTTGATGAAAAACTTGAGAAAACATGTAAGTAATTCACTACAGTAATTGTTCAAAGTGGAGTTCATTTCTCTGTAAACACAATCTTGCGCGACGCAATGTTTGGTTAAATAAATCTTTAAAATCCTAAACGCCGCACGGATTTTAGATTTAAAATCGTCTACACTAGTGGCTTCCTCTTTGTTTACAAGTTTTTTAGCCTCCCCCATAGATAATAATCGAGGAGAGTAAGATCGGGTGATCGTCCCGGCCATGGGACCGGTCCACCACGACCAATCCACTGATGTGGGAACTCATTGTTTAAATGATTGCGAACGTTCACTGCGTAGTGGGCCGGTGACCCATCTTGTTGGAAGAACATGATGTCCCAGTATGCCAGTGGGACGTCATCCATTAGAACAGGGATAACGTTCTCCAGCATATTCAAGTAGGTGCCCCCAGTTAGGTGACCCTCGATGAAATGTGGCCTTAATTTATCATCCATTTTTCTCACTTCCTCTTCAAAAAACCTGCGATGTCCTCCAATCTGACTTGTTTGCTTTGTACGTAACTGGCAACTGTTTTATGTTCTTGAAACACCGAGGGTTTTTTGATTTGCCTATAACTAAGAGCTTTCTTTTTTCTGTGCATTTCATATTAGCAGCTACTATAACCGTAATACGTTCTTCAGACAATTTTCCACCAACACATTTTTCTCCCTTGAAATTTAATTTTTTTTGGGATTATACTTGAAGAAAAGGTCAGTTTCACTGCATTAAAATTGTCTTCTGGTGAGTTCTTGTTCTTCTACTTACTACACCCAATCACTTACCCAAGAATTGGTATTCATTGTGCACAAAGATTCCACACCTTTCTGTTGACATCTGCATTTTGGATTCAAATTCTATCATAGCTTCATCTTCATACTTAATCCCATGTTTTATGGCTAGGGTTAACAAATCAGAGGATTTAATAAGAGAAGCTGCAATTTTATTTTTCCTACTTGTTGCTTTGCAAATCTTGCCAAAATTAGAACTATTAATGCGCATTAATCTTTCCTGAGTCCATAATTTGCGGTCTATTCTTGTCTTTTGCTCTAGATCAATTCTCTGCTCCTCATTTACAAATCTTAGCTTAAAAAATCATCTTCTGTCAATTGAAGGTAATCATGGTCTGCAAATATGCTTTGTTTATCAGCGGGTTTGATTATCTGTGCTATTGGCATGACATTTAATTGGTTACTCTGGCCTCAGAAGTTAGCTACTGCATTTTAAAATGTTTTGGTAAAACCTTCTGGAGTCTCTGCACAGGGCCTTGGGTCAAAGGATGCCATTTATTTGTATTTTTTATCTTTACTCTTTAGTCCAAGTTCTTCGGCCATTACAGGCTCTGGTGTGTGCAGTTTTTTTTGCCGATGGAATGTCTGCAAGTTTGCAGTAACGCTTTCTTTTAATTTAATGCTTTTATTTTCATGTATGTCAATAAGACGACCATAAATAACAACTATAATGTGTTTACATCGAGCATATGGTCCCATTCCAGCCGCACATTCACATTACGCTTCCAATGCAAGGTGGTTTTTCAACTTGACAACCACATTGTACACAATGTTTTTACGCATTTTTGATGAAACCATGCCAGTAACATAACATTCCCCAGCTACTTCAGCTAACCGGCATGACATCAAAAAGTATTCATCACATCATACATACTTATTACGTGATGTATTCAAGTTTTCTCTTTCAGTGTTTCTTTCTCTCTCTTTTTTGTGTTCTTGAGTGCCCCTCGCAGGGGGTAAAATATGGGTTCTAATACACGGGTCTTTCCGGGTGGCAATAAAAAAAATACCTCACACCCCGAAGGCTAAGGCTGTCTCTCCGCTCGCTGCGCCCGCTTCGTTCCCGCTTTAGCCTTCGGAACCTCTAACCTAACCTTCTAACCTAACCTATCCATGTCAGGGTGCCCCGACCTCCCGTGCTCGCTTCGCTCACACCCGCCCTGCAGTCGATTCTAATATGTGGGTCTTTCCGGGTGGCAATAAAAAAAAAATATTTAACTAGTATTTTCATAAAATTAAGCATTCTATAGGAAATAAATTAAAAAACAATCATTTTTATATATAATTTTATTTAACATGATATACATGTAGTACAGCTTTTATCAGTTCTTCAAAAGGATCAAGATGATTAATCCTGATTCTGCGACGCCAAATATATTCAATGAGCCAGTCCGTGAAATCGTGTTTATTTTGCTGCTGTCGAAAGGCTTTTTTCAGTCCACGTCACTGGCTCTATTCTTTGGGTGTGTTTCCCATCAGGCGCCACAAACCTGTTGGCCGGGTCACTATGGTTGACCCTTTTGTGAGTGTACCCATGCTGAGGAAGGCAGATAGGCTCTCCAGTAATCGGTATGGATGGTAAAGCCTTCCTCCAAATGTTTTTGTATGAGTAGCACCAAAACCACTGCTGATCTCTCGTTATCGGGCCACACTTCAACCCTGAGGTCGTCACTTCCGTCTTCAATCATCCCTATTACCCAGTGGCCTTCAATGCGACGGCCACGGTTATATTTTCTTCTTCCAAACTTGGACTCGTCAATTTGGACGATTCTTCCGGGTCCACTATTTTCCAACTCTTAGATGATTACAGCTTCCCGGCAGTAGCTGTACTAGTCGGCTACAGTGGCCTGACTGACGACAGTCTCCGACTCATCAGAGCTCAACTGTTTTCGTGCTTGATCATATGACAAGCCCTTGCTGAATGCATACATCATTTGAAATATTATCGTCAATGCCAAGCGAGCATTCTTAAACCAGGTGCCTTTGGCCCTGCTTACAGCTCTGCTGCGGCAGTTGCTCTTCCGGCACCTGAACTGGCCAACTAAGCCTTCGTTTAACGTCAATGTCATAGGCCTTCTATTTTAATTTTGATTGCTAGTTTGATGCAAGGAATCAAAGAGTATATAAATATCCCTGGACGAGACACACAGCGCCATCTAGCCCCAAACTAAGCAAAGCTTGTACTATGGGCACTAGACAACTGATATAATACTTATATACTTTTTTTGTAAATAAATACATAGAAAACACCCAGACTAAACACAAATATTTGAAAATAGACATAACAAATATTTGTGTCGCTGGGAATCGAACCCACGACCCTCGGCGTAGAAGGCAGGGGTGCTATCCACTACGCCAACGGGACAGTCTAGAATATACAAGGTGTTCCAATGTAAATACATTAAATTGGAGACGTTGCCATTTTTGTTAGTTTAATTAAGAGGATCAGTGTTTTAGAATTCCGAACGCCTTGCTTACATCGTTTGTTTTTGGAAAACTTGCAATTTTTTTTCACCGCAGGCAGGATTCATACCTGCGACCTTCAATACTGCCGACGCCCTAACCAACTGGGCTACCGCGGTTCTAATCGAGCCCGTGAAATTAAGCAAGTATATCTTGTCCACTATCGCGTGGATGGGCACATGGGTACATCGTTTGTGTATTGTATCGTTCCTGCTGTGTCCTGACGGTATGTATGTATGTGCCGAGATATTTTATTTCTTTTGACGGAATTATATTTGTCCCTGCAAGTGTGATAAAATTCCTTTGTTCATTATGGATCGGGTCAAGGATGATTATTTGTGTTTTGGTCGCGTTTATTTTTAGTCCTATCCTACTGACGATAGTAAAGGTTCTATATTTGAGAATATCTCATTTAGATTCGTAATACTTTCTGATGAGATTATGAGATCATCGGCGAACGATAGTATCATTGGGAGACTTATCTGGTTGTCCTGATTTAATACTAAAACAGTCTACTTCTTCCTCGAGTGTTTTTAAAACGTCATCCATCACGAGGGTGAAGAGGCGAGGAGAAAGGGGGCAGCCTTGTTTCACGTCTTTTCCTTTGTTTACGTATGCGCTTTGTTGTCCAAACCTTTTAATGCAGGTCGTTTCGTTCATGCACGCTTTGATGATCCTATTTGTTATAGCGTGGTTCGTTCTTGCATTTTAGTGCCTTCTCTCCAGTTTTCATCAATAACTCTGCGAAGAGTGTACATATGGTCGTCAGTTGAGCAATTGTTTAGAAAAACTGCTTGGTAGTTTCCTAACTCTTCGATTTTTTTGTCTAATCTATTTAACAGAAAGTTAGCGTAGATTCTATATATCGTACTAGATATGGAAATTCTACGGAAGTTATTTATTATTTTGGGTGTTTTTATTTTTGGTATTGGAACTTGTATTATTTTTGTCCAAGAAGTTGGAATTATATTTTACTTCCATGCTAAGCAAATATTATTAAAGAGTTCGTCAATTAATTCCGTTGGAGCTGATTTTATTAGGTTCATCACAATTTGATCTGCACCCGGGGCATTTCAATTACGCATTTTTGATGTTATATCTATAATTTCATCCTTCGTAGGATCTTCTTCTAGATCGTTTACATTTTCTAGAGGGTGGAGTGGATTATCTAATCCTTGGCATTTCCTTAACTCTTCTTCCCATTTCGACATTGGTATGTTGCTTCGTGTTTCTGTTTTCGTTCATCTTGTGGCGGCTGTAGCAGTCGTATGTAACTTTAATTCTTTGGGAAGGATGAAGGGAGCCTATGTTTCCAAGCACTCCTTCTAGTTACTCTCGTTCCTCTTTATCTATTATAGATTGAAGATCGCGCCTATTTGCTTTTAGTATTTGTTTTTTGGCAATGTGATTAGGGGAAAGGTTGGGCATGATGCTTTGGCTATTTCCACTTGCTGCAAGGCAGCTTGGCGTTCTGCGGATCTGACAGGTTCGCCTGATAGTTAATCTTGAGCTGCAGTTTGTAGAATGTTAGTAAGTGTATCGTAGGGAATAATCTCGTCTCCTTCTACGAAGCTTCGTAATTCAGTTATTTTTGCTCTAATGTTATTGCGGTATTTTTTCGAGTTTCTTTATCTTTTAGGTTTTCATAGTTAATCTTTTTGTAATTGAAATCTGAGCTTTGACTTTTTCAGTTCTTTTAAGAGTAGGACCCTGATCCTTAGCATCCTAACCGTTCCGTGTCAATATTATCAATTATTATTTTATGGTCCGACATCCCCTTGACGAACTTCCCGCGAATATGCTTAAGAAAAATGGATATTTCTTATATGTCATTATGAAGTCTATCTGGGATTTACTATCAATCACTAGATCTCCACGTCGTTATGCAACTATTCCTTCCAAACGTCGTGTCAAATCGCAGGTTGGTATCGCTTAATGACGTCAATAAGAATTTCCCCGTTGCTATTAGACTCGTTATGTAATAAGTTTGTATGTTTATTGCATTGTCGGGTATATCATCTTTTATGTCTAATTTTCCTACGTGGGAGTTGAAATCTCCTAGTAATATCATCTTTAAGCTTGTTAATTGCTGTTTAAGTAATAGTGATATGACTGAGAATAATTTTATGAAATTAGTTGATGATGATGATTATGATGATGAGCACTCACCCAGCCAGGAGCATTCCTGACCCGGACAAGCCAGATAAACCAGGGGGCACAATAAGTTTAGGAAAGACACGCTCAGGGATGAAGGAGAGGAGATCGGTGGACCGCGACCCACCGACCAGATCCAACCCGCCGTCCGGCGTAGCTAGACTAGGATTGAGGGTGAGATGGGAAATCCGACGAGGGAGTGAGCGTTGATGATCGGCGTGGAGTCCGTGATGATGTGTTTTGTCGCTGAGCCGTCGGTGAATCAGCAGTATCCTCTTTGTTTTCGCTGTCTGTTTTGTTTAATTCGAAGATTTCTTTTGCCGCTGCTCTTAATTCGTTCCTGTATTGTGCGATCTCGTTCCATTTCTTTATGGTTTTAATGTAGTACGCCATGTCATGTTGTATAGAGTTAGTCCATGTGAATATCGGGCGTCCAGATTTTAGTTTCCTAGCCTTGTATTTGGTTGCTGCCTAGCCTTGTAGTTGGGGTTGAGTGCGTCTTTGTATGTGTATATTGTATATAGTAGCAAAGCCTGAGGAATTTAATTCGTTTTGTGATCGTTTTTCCTTCGAGCACTTCGGCGTTTGATATGTTTGTAAGTACCTAGGTATTTGATTTCCGCCGATAGGGCTATACTTATACCTCCCAAGTGTACGAATTGATTAGAATTTTCGTTTTGGAGCTATTTATTTTGAGGCCAACCGTTTTAAATAGGAGTTTTATTTTGGTAAATATTGTGTCCAGGATAATGAGAGTGTTATTTCGTAGGGTGATTTTTTCGTTTTGGTTTAGAGTGAAGCTCGGTTCTTCCTCCTCTAGGGTTTTAAGCACCTCATCTATAACGAGAGCAAATAACCCTGGCGACAGGGGGCAACCTTGTTTTACTCCTTTTCCTTTTGTTATAAAAGCGCTTTGAAATGAAATGAAATGAAATATATTTATTCAATGTTGGATACAAAAAATATCACTTATTGATAGTCATTATAAAATAATGATAAGTCATTGTAAAAAGAAGAAAATTGAATGACACAATTTTCTTTTTCTTATAACAATTTTGCGGTCCTAGTGTAGACGCGGCTCGGGCGGGATAAAAAAATAAAAATAAAGGCACTGCCTCGGGGCTGGCCAGGCTTTGCTGGCCGAACCATTTTATACAAGTAGATTCGTTCATACAGGCTTTTATTATCCTATTTGTTAGAGTCTTGTTGGTCCTGGTGGTCAGAATATAGTTGAGCGCATTAAGATCTACTGTGTCAAAAGCTTTCTCGATGTCTAAGGCCATAACGTAGGTCGTGGTTCCTTCTCTCCAGTTTTCGTCGATAATTCTGCGAATCGTGTAGATATGGTCATCGGTATATCTGCTGTTTAAGAACGCGGCCTGATTACCTATGGGTTTCAGTGAGTCATCAAGTTTTTCTAATAGAAAATTTGCGTATATTATATAGGCCTTGCAGCATATTGAAATCCTTCTGTTAAGGTAAGTCAGCTTTCTTCCAAAAGCTGGTCATTTCTGTCTATCATCGATCCTTCCACACCGAGTTTCGTGAGCAGACTCCATCGCCATTTTGATGGATTCCGGGTGTAAACAGACATTGTCTTTTATGAAACCGTTTTCAATATCATTATAAATGTCTTCTGCATAGTGTTTGCCCTTTGTTCATTTTCTATTGTTTTTAATTGCGATTTGTGAGGTTCAGCTGCTTGACACGTTTTGACGACATCTTCCAACTTGAGATTTCCTTTACTAAGTTAATACTTATTTGATTTCTTTTGAAGGGATTATGTTTGTTCTAATTTTGATTTGTATGTATGTATGTATATTCTCTTTATTGTACCTTCATAAAACTATTACAGAAAACACACAATAAAACAATAACATGATATGGCACAAAGGCGGACTTATCCCATTAAGGGATCTCTTCCAGTCAACCCTTGAGAAACTCTGAGGATATGTAATGAGCAGGTAAACTAGAAAAAAAGGTAAACTAAAAATTATCAAAATGTATACATACTTAACAATAAGCAAAATACATAATATTGTTGTCCAAAAAGTAAGTATAATAAATAATCCTACATAAATACGGCTAAAATTATACTAATATAAAATAAAATAGTATTATTAATATAAAAATATATACTTCCTACAAATTGTCCGAGTTGTCCGACCCATAACCCCAAACTCTCTTAATGTTAGTTTTAAAAACCGAGATATTTTTACTTTTCCTTACATCCGAAGAAATTTTATTCCATATGCGTGCAGCGTGGACAGTGAATGACTGAGCGTACATTTTAGTTGAACACACCGGTATCCGGAGAGAAAGATCGCCGTAGGAACGCAGACGAGAGCCTGCCTCCACCGTGTGCAGCTCAAACCTTTCTTGAAGATAGATAGGTGCATTGGGTTTGTGAAGAATATTGTACAAAAAAGACAAAATGTGCAAATCCCTGCGTTGTCGGATTGGTAGCCACTTCAATCGCTCCCTGAACTCTGATATGTGGTCAAATTTCCGCAAACCAAAAATGAAGCGGATGCACTGATTCTGCAACCGCTCCATTCGATTTAGAAGTTCTTGCGACAGGTCCAGAAAAGCTACATCCCCATAATCAATCCAAAGGCACAAGAAGGGACTGAGCCAGCATATTTTTTGTGTTGATGGGAAGGAAGTTTTGTAGCCTCTTGAGTGAATGGAGAGAAGCGTATATAACCTTCGGCTCACTTCACCCACAGTAAGTGTCTGGTCCATCAGAATACCTAGATTCTTTACCTTTGATGAATAGGGAATAGGTGAATTATTGAGGGTAACCTCTGGCACATCCGCTAGGTTTAGCTTGGCAATCCGCTGATGACTGCCAATAATGATCGCCTGAGACTTAGCAGCATTTAACAGGAGCCCATGCCTTTTCGCCCAACTGTCAATGGTGGCTAGATCACAGTTTATCCTGTCAATCGCATGCTGTATCTTT